CAACCACTGCCAAGATGATTGGGCCAACTGGCTCCCGCTAGCGGAGTTTGCCTATAACAACCATGTCCACTCCTCCACCCGCTGCACCCCTTTTGAGCTCGATACTGGCCAACACCCCAGGATGGGGACGGAACCCACACGCACATCTGAGGTAGAAGCCGCTGATGCCTTCTCATCGAGGATGATGAAGATGCAGGAAGAGGTGAAGGCGGTGCTAGAGCATGTGGTGGACGAGATGGCCCACTACTATGACTGGAACCACGAGGCAGCCCCTACGTACCAAGAAGGCGACCGGGTCTGGCTCAGCACCCAGAATTACACAACTGATTGCCCAACCAAGAAGCTAGACCATAAATGGACTGGCCCCTTCATGATAGTTAAAGTTGTCTCCCCCGCCGCCGTCAAACTCCGGCTCACCGCCCAACAAAGAGGGATCCACCCAGTTGTATCCATGACAAACATCAGACTGCACTGCCCTGATGAAATCGTGGAATGCCCTGCCGACCCCCGCCCGGGCCCAGACCTTGTAGATGGAGAAGAGGAGTATAAGGTCGAGAAAATCCTGGACTCTAAGTGGTTACACCGAAAACTCCGATACCTGGTAAAGTATACAGGCTGGCCACACTCGGAAAACCAATGGCTCACACGCGACCACCTGACCCACGCCTCCGACCTAGTTGAGGAGTTCCATCAAATGCACCCCCATGCCCTGGGGAGAGAGAAGGAGAACCACCCAGCCGCTTCGAGGCAAAGCGGCTTAAGGGGGGGGTGATGTCAGGGCACGCCCGCCTGACCCTGCGCCCCATGCTGCACTGCCCTACTCCGCTTCCCCCGCTATCACCCCCTGTCCCTCCTTCCTCACTTTTCCCCTTTCTCTCTATTTCTATTCTACGGTTGATTTCCCTTTTCTCCATGTACCACTACATACCTAACCCTGTTCCCCTGATCGCCGCACGTGCCACGCACACTCCTGCCTACCAAGCGGCTACCTCTGGGATCTCCTGTGGAGACACCCGGGAAGGTGCAGCTGTGCGTGGAGATGATGTGGCCTCCTCCACATGACCCTGACCGCATGTATATAATAGCACCTGGGGTGGGAACAGAAGAAGCAGCCTTCTTCTCAACTTCCCACTTCAGCCTAAGTGGTCGGGGACGCTCACCCCATGACAGGACCACCGCTATGCATAGCCGACGCCTGTCCCATCGAGTCCCCCGCGCTGGGACCTTGCCGCTTTCGGAGCTGTCCCTGACATCACTGTTTGATTACTTCATGCATCAATGAGAGCATCGTGCGCATCCAGAGTCATTGCTGTGATTTTGCATGCTACAGCCCAAACACCTGGATAAGGGGACTCTTGCGAGATGAGGATCAGGTTTGGTTGCCATATTCCATTCAATTCAAAAGGTGTATATCCTGTGCTATCTGATGTTGACATGTTTATTGCCAGTTCTATGACCGGGAGTTTGGATGCCCAATCCTTTTGATGACCTGATATTGCTTGTCTCAACATTTGAGACAGGGTCCGGTGAGCGCGTTCCATGGCGCCATCCATTTCTGGGTGGTATGCACTGGACAATTGTAGTTCCACACCTATCAGCTTGTGTAGTTCAGTCCAAAATGTCGACGTGAATAGGCTGTCTCTGTCGCTTACTATGCATAGGGGGAGGCCATGTAATTTGTAAATGGTATCGAAAAATACTTCAGCCATATCCTGGGCTGTATAGGTCTGCAGCGTTGGTACTAGGTGAACCATGCCACTAAAATGATCAATGATTGTACAGATCATATCAAATGTGCCATGTTGGGTTTTCGAGAGTGGCAACGGGCCTAGGAAATCAATTCCCACAGATTCCCAAGGTTGTGATGGGATCGGTAAGGTTTTCAGGAGGCTGAATGGTGCTGTTGTACGAGATTTTGTCGTTGCACAAACTGGGCAAGACAGACAGAACTTACGTGCATCCCGCAAAATATTTTTCCACCAGACATGATGACAAAGGTAGATCGTCGTTTTCTCAGGACCTAAGTGAGCTAGAATGGAATGTGCATGAGAGATGACAATCTCATGTAGCGATTGTGCACCATATGATACATTCGGTATGCAGAGTACAGTAAATTGACCATTATTCATGAATATCAGCATCTTTCCTTCCACATCCTTGGTGACTGAGAAATTAGGGAAATATAGTGGGTTGTCGATAATCCTTGTGAAGAACGGGTCTGAATGGTACTTATCGGTAATAAAATCCGGTAGCACAAGGCCTGGCTCAGAGTCTGATACCAATGTTATGAGTCCTGGAGGTGTCTCAGTGTACTCGGACTGCAATTCTGAATGGACTTGGTTTGAGGTAGAACCTGTTGCTTGGGTATCCTCATCTGTGGTGCTTTTTCACATGTGGGTGGGTATTTTGATTCTGATTTTCAAAGCCTCCCGGGGTTGCCCTTCTAAGGCTTCTTGTGTGATGGGTGATGGTTCTGGTTCGTCATCCTGAGAGCCTAGGGTCGCAGGTGTCTTTCCAGTTCTCTTCTTCCTGGTTCGGAGACTGCAGGGCCTGTGATTAGTGTGGCTGTGTACACTCTATCTGTTGTTGTTCCAGCATCATTGTCCTCCATAGTCTCTGACACGAATTCAGAGGGGGCACGTAATGTCCCCAGTGACTCATCACTGTATATTCATGATAGGGAATCTGAGAATGAATTTTGTTCACCGGGTAGATAGTTGATTGAAAAGTCAAAATCACTCAATGCATCTGGCCAGTGAGCTTGACGCTGCGATAAATTCCGTTGTGATTTCAGGAATTCCAATGGCTTGTGATCTGTGAACAGTCTGAACTTACAGCCTAACAATTGGTCGCAAAAGCGCTTTAGTGACTCAATAATAGCCAATAATTCTCACTCATGGACAGGGTAATTTTGTTGCGTCAGAGTGAACTTCCCGGACCAGAAACATGCAATCTGGGCTGTTTCCAGGTTGTCCCCTTGACTTAAGACACCACCTGCTCCTGTTAATGAGGCATCTGTAACTAGGTTGATTGCCGGAGCATTTTCTGAGTAGTCCAGAGGTTTTCTATGGTGATCACGGAAATTCTGGACAATTTCCTTAATTTTCTTGAATGCGCATTGGTGCATTTCATTCCATTTCCAGACCTTCTTGGCATTGGTCAGTGGTGTTAATACACCCATAGGGATGCGGATCCCTTTACAATTGGGGGCTAGATAGCCTACAGCTCCCAAGAATCCATGCAACAAAGATGCGTTTGTGGGAACTTTCCAATTCCTGGTACTCTCAACTTTGTTGGGGTCCATTCTGATTCCTTTCTGGTCGATCACATGGCCCAATATCTTCAGTTCATCAGCGAAGAATTGCAGTTTATCCGGTGTGGACAAATAGAATTTCTGCTTTTCCAACAATCGGAATACCGTGCGGCAGTGCCCGATGTGTTCATCTATTGAATTTGAATAGATTATTATGTCATCTAAGTACGGGTCTACCCATTTTCCAATATATGGGCCAAACATATGACACATAGTCATTTGCCACATCACGGCAGCATTCTTGTCGCCTTGGCACATGACTCAGCTTTTCATCATGCCATCCGGAGTGATGATTAAGTTCTTCTCCTCATCTGCCGGATCTACTCTATTTGTTTGTATGCATCTCGTCCATCTACTATGGACACAAACTTGTGATGGGCTACTCTATCAAGAATAGCTCTTATGTCGGGGAGTGGAGAGGACATTGGGACAGTGTTCTCATTGATTTCGCGCTTATCTACTACTGTCCGGATGTGAACTTCTCCATTCGGCCCTGGTTTCTTCTTGAGGATCAGCAACGGCATGCCATTAGTACCATTGTAGTATACCCATCGTCCAGATCTTAGCATTATATCTCGTTTCTTTTCCCACAAAGGACGTAAGGGTTCGGGACACATAGCTCGTCTGAACCTGTATATCTTCCTTTCATCCTTCAGCAGGATCCGATGGTTGATATTACGCAGAGGTGGTAACGGAGTCTCGTCAAATGGTTTACAAAGCTCGGCTGCCTCGTTCCTCAGCATCTCCCTTAACTTTTCCAAATCCCTTTCAATCAATACCGATCTCAGTGATGGGATCACTACAGAGTCTTCTCCTTTTAATGCTTCTGGCATTGCTGAGCCTATACACAAACGTGGTGGATTCAGTCCAAGGAGTACCGAATGTTGATACAGGAACAGTGTACCCAAAATCACATCGTAGTTGTGAATGTTCATAATGTCAAAGCATTTTCTGCAATCGATATTTTCGTATCTGAACGTCACTGTTGTCTCAAGTTGCACGTTAACTCTGGAACTGGTGACAGCCAGCTGTACTGGAAGTGTTGTCGAAAGCTTTGTTGTCGGCAGCTTCAGCTGGTCCACACAAGAGGTGGAGATGAAGTCAGCTAATGAGCCAGAATCCACGAGAGTGCGGCAAACGTTGCCATTAATGTAAGTCTTAATTACCATTCCCTTGGGTAGTATGTGCATTACATCCTTCGGGGTTGCGGTGGTACGTTCAAGACCGTCTGACAATCAGGCGCCCTCCATTTGGAGCTTAGGTCCTTTGGGCTTGGCTGCGTTAACTGGGACATATTTCACACTATCAGTGGATGTGCTCATCGTGTGTAGCGGTCCGGTAAGTGATTCTATTTCTATCATACTTTCTAGGCTCTGCACATTTACAGTGTTTACGCTCACACTCGGGTTTCCTTCAGTCACAGGACAGTCCTTCGCTAGGTGACCTGCCTGTTTGCAGTTGAAGCACAGGCCTTTGGCTCTCAGCTCCTCGCTTTCTTCTTTGGATAGCCTGGTCCGCGACAACTTGCATCTGCACCCTCCAGACTTCTTCTTGCTTTCTCTTTCTTTCTTGTCGTCGTTCTGTCTTGTGGCTCTGTCATCCTTTTCGGACCGTTTACCTTCCTTGGTCTGGTTCTTCTGATTCTCGGATGAATACTTATCTCTTTCGCATTCACTTGGGCAATTTTGGGGAGGAGTGGTGGTGTAGTGGTAACACCCGCCAACCTACTCTCTCGCTGGCGTTTGCCGATTGAGAGGATGTTGGTTCGACTCACCTGTTGGGAGGTCGCGGTTCTCCAAAGTCTCAAGAGGCACGTGTTTATGCGTCGGGCCAACAAGCCGAGGAGCCGGTCTCATGATCACTTGATCACCAACTTCTCCACTACCGATTACATTGAGTATAGAAAAGGTTCATATCATATGACTAAGTCTTCTATTCACTACCCGAAAGGGGCCTCTCATGGGCACAACTGGCCAGGAGTTAGGAGTTCAATTGGCATGGACCCAGATGTTCTATAGGGAATCACTCGCAGCATAATAGGCTCATGTGATACGGTCTACCACTGTCACAATTCAGAAGAATTTGGATTGTTCAGTCGCGAATCCGGGCATTGGCAAACGATGTTGGTGTTATCTGGGAGCTTAGAATCATGTGGAACTTGAGTATAGAAACATGTATGATAATATGCCTTGGGCCTCGCCCCTTCCCCTTGGCGCCCTAACGGGCAGCCTCTATGGGAAGTAAAATATCGAGAATTACACACACACACTTGGGCAATTTTGGTTTCTCTTACGACTTTCCTCGTACTTCATCATCTTCTTTGCCCATTCGGCATTCATGGCTATAACCTTAAGTTCTTCTATCATGCCAATGTCCAGGCTAAAGCCATAATCCAATAACTTTACACGGTAATACTGATCTAATCTGTTGAATATACGTTGTACGAATTGTCGATCCATAATGTCATTTATCCTTTTCCGAATACAACCCATTTCCTGAATGTACTCTTGGACTGTTGAGTTACATTGGGACCATTGCTCAAAGCAATCACATTGGATCTGGTGGAATTCTGGTGGAAAGCACTCATCAAAGAGGGCTTTCACAGCTGTGGTGAGTGTCCAGCCCTGTGGTTCCAACGCAATCGTGGACACATACCAGGTAGCGGCCTTGCCACTTAACATATGTTGGAGGTGTTTGACTTCGTCCCGTCTGTGGACCTTGTTTAATTCAAAGTAGGTCTTCATGCCGGCGAACCAGACTTCAAACTTGTCATAATTGGCCTCACCGCTATATGGTTCAGGTCCCTTGACCTTGACATGTGGGCTAGATTGCTTTCCTTTCTTGAGCAATTTCATAAGTAGGCTTGTGTCGTTCTTCAGACTCAACCTGTTCAGTTTCCCTAGTTTTAACAACTCGGAGTCGTCTGTGTGTATGGTACTAGTCCTTATTGATGAACTTGATGAAGAACTACTGTTGCCATCATCATCAGAGGGGTCCGACAGGGTTAGGTGTTTGGCTAAAAATGAGGAAGGAGGGATGAATGTTGAGGCTTTGGGCACTCTCAACATCGTGTGGTTCTGTACCACTGGTTCCTTAACAGGTTTGTCTCTCTTGGGCGTCGTCGACTCACGTTTCGATGCCTTGTGCCTTGTTAGTCTGTTTGATGCCAATCCATTAAGGACCATCTCGGAGTCCATGTGTCTGTCAAATAACTTGCGAGCTTGAGTTGTTAACTCATCTGAATCATTGTTCTCACTGCCTTTATCAATGACCTTCGGTTGGTGTGGTGTTGGTGGTGTGGGCAAAAGTACCTCGTGTCCTTTGCCTTTTTCAGTAGATGTGGATGCTGGAGCCATCTGAGTGCCAGTAGCTGAGTATATTCAAGCGGTTTCAGCGTCAGATCAGGTATCTGTCCATAATTCTGGAGCATACGATTCGGATTCGTGCTTCACCACTAGGTCTCTGAAGCGAAGGATCTTATTGAGAGCATCGTCCAGCATGGCTAAGATATCTGACAATGAGAAAGATTTCTCACTGAATCATGCATATGGGTCAGGGGGTTCTGGAGGGATACGGGGGTGAAGGAACGTTCTGGGTTCTCTTGTCCTGTTAGATAAAAATTATCTTTGTTGACTATATGTCAGGGCACACCCGCCTGACCCGGCTCCACCCGGCCCAACCTGACCCGGTACCCCGCTGTCCACCCTTCCCTACCTCCTCCCCTTTCCCTTCTTCCCTCCTTATTCTTCCTTCCTCACTTTCTCCCTATCCTACTTCTTCTTTATTCTCTCTTTATTCTACATGGACGACCTTCTTTGTATCAATGTACCATTGACCCATCTGCAGCATGCCCACCATGTACCCAGCCCAGGCACCTCGGGCGACTTCCTGCTGTGCCCAGTATGCGCACCTGCACCGGATGCCCTCGGGATCTCCCATGGAGACACCCGGGTGGTGATGGCTGTGTGCGAGGGTGACGTGGCACCCATCATGTGATCTAAGCTGCATGTATATAAACAAACCTGAAGTGGGAACCAAAGAAGTAGCCTTCTTCTCAACTTTCCACTTCAGGTAAGTAGTACAATATTCCTCCTTTAATGACAATAACAACTTTCCACTTCAGTCTAAGTGGCCAGGGACCATTGTCCTGCATTGGGCCTGTCAGTATGCATGCCTGATCCGCCCCCTGCCAGGCTCTCAGCCCCGGATGCTACACTGCCCCTTGACCCTGGACGAGTCCCTGACACTATAGACATGTCTTCCTCTTTGTCTGAGAGGCAGTCTTCGGACGATCTGTCACTAGATGTTCCATCCGCGCTGCTGGTACTTATCGCGCTGCGGGCATCTGTGCTGCGGTTATTCATGCTGCAGGTATTAATGGGGCTAATCCCCGGAGCTGCAAGATCTGCACTCTCAATGACAGGGCTGATCCCCGGAGCTGCAGGTTCTGCACTCTTCACGATGGGGCTAATCCCTGGAGCTGCAAGTTCTGTGCTCTTCAAGCTTGGGAAGCCACTTACCGGATCTATCTCGTATCCATAGTTCTCATCGGCTTCCCTGACACCTAGCTTGACTTCTAGTGTCGCTGCTAGCATGTCCTGTTCGTTCTGTATCTCGGGAGAGAGCTCGGCAGCTTCTGCCAACAGGCTCCTGTTGTGCACGGAAAATTCATTAGTAATTGTTTCGGGCGCCAATGTATCGACTGAGAGAGATTGGCCACATCGGCTTACCAAAGGCACGTAGCCGTGACCACTCCTAAGTCTCATCATCTAGTTGCAACTAAGTCGTTAGAGGAGGTGAAGCTTAAGGTGGCCAGCCTTAAGCTGGAAATTTGGAAGTGAGGGTTAGATTGGTTTAGATCAGTGTAGATCAAGAGTGTGTAGGTAGCGAAAAAATGTGAGGGACCTTAATGTTGGCAGAGGCTGGCGATTGAGTTCAGGTGGTTAAGGGACTCACGAAATCTTAGGGTGATCGAAAGTCACTGAACCAAAGTCGAACTCGATATTACACTAGGGGTGTAAAATACAAGATCTCTGCTTTTCCTATCTACTAAGGTTCTAGCTTATATACGGTTCTCTACACTTATGTAAGCTTATTGCTTACAGGTGCAAATTTGGACTAAGTGCCTTGGCATCCATTTACATAACCGAGGCTCTTCCAGCCAATTGTTATGTGCCCCGCAATTCTCCGCAAATTGTTGAGTAACAACAGACCATGGGCAGCACTGGTGCTTCACTGTGGGAAGTAAACTGTTGTAAAAAATCACAATACTTGTAGTTTTTAACCATTTACGGACATTTTGGTAGTATTTTGAAGGAGGTAAATTATGACAGAATGCACAGTGAAGTTAAATACCACAGTTGGAACTCTGTAAAATACAACTCAATCGATAGTCTCTTGAGTGCAACAAATTTTACATGAGTTGGGATGCACATTCGATACGTTCAGCTAGCCATCATCATCCACACTAAAAATTGGCCTTGCAAGCTTGCTGCTGCGGTCAATGATAGCCCAACAATGGTCAGAATTTGTCCCATAACAGAACTGGCCACAGACTGATGATACGGATGCAAGTGCAATGATTTGGGTGGTGTCAGAGAGCGTAGTGAAGGGAGTAGGCAATAATGCTGCGTCCAAATAAGCGCCACTATCTGAAACTAGTCACTGAAACTGTGCTCAAAATTGTCGGAGTCATGCTTGGGTGTTGGCTCAAGTGCATCAAGTATGTCCAGGCCGGAAAACTGGATATGCCATCAAATTGAGAGGCCAACTGCATTACAGCAGGGACAAATGGGGGCATCCACCATCGGGTGTTGGGTGTAGAGCCAGTAGACACTTGGCACTTAGGACTTAGCTCGATCAAACAGCTTCTCGGCAGTTTCCAGTCCTTACTTTGTCCCTCATCTCCCTCATCTGTACTCATATCAACTCTCAAATCCCTTACACCTATCTCCAAGCCCTGTCATATCCATCCCCGGCCATCGACTTCCGGTCCCTCCAATCCCTCCGGTCTACCCCTGCTCCTTCTTCACTAACCTTGGAGCTTCTGTATTCCACAATCCCCTTGGTACCCCTCAATGGTCACCACCCCTCCTTTCAATTTATTACCTACACCTCCCTAAGTACGGAGCCCCAAAGACTTCCGGACAGCTCCGATGTCCGCTAGCGCACTCCCACCTCCACTAGGCAATACACTCGCCTGCCCTGCAGAGTCCACCTTCAGGCCTATCCCTCCTTTCCATTTCTGGGTTATCACCTGCCTTTCCGTTAACCCCGTAACCCGACTCGTCGGTAATATTCAGTCGGCTAATGGTTAACCCCGTTAGCTCCGCTCCACTATTTGCAGACCCATCTTCACAGTAACTGTCATGACCGACAAATCCTGGGGCTCCGTCAGCAGTGAATCAATGCCAATAGGCAAATCCGCCGACCCGA